GTGTGTGTGTGTGTGTGTGTGTGTGTGTGTTTAGTTGTGTGTGTGTGTGTGTTTAGTTTTCCCCTCATTTAAAGGCTACTTTGTTATCATCTGTAGATTCCTGTACACCTTCTCTGAAATCTGGAACTGTCTGCTTTTTCTCTTGCTGCTGACGGCAAGGTGGATGCTCAGAGGCCTTTTCTTCTTCCCCACCTCCTCCCCTGTGTTACAGTGCTTCAGTTCCAGAGACCTCTTTGCTGTGCACAATTTTAGCGACCAGTCCCAGATTGGGAGGAGGGAGTTCCAGGAGTTCTGCCCCACCATCCTGCAGCAGCTGGATTCTAAGGCCTGCACCGCCGAGAATCAGGAAAACGAGGAGAATGAGCAGACAGAAGAGGGGAAGCCAAGCGCCATTGAAGGTAAGCTGGGAGAGGAACAAGGGGGCAGGGCGTGGCCTCCCTTGAGTGCTGGGGCCGATCTGATGGTGTGTCTTCCTGATTATTTAAGCCAGAACCAGGTTCTCCACATTAGGAAGTAAGAATTAATGGCTGTGTGTGGCCTTTTCAGCACTCACAGACCTGGTATAGGTTGGCCAGACTCTCAGGCGGCATAGCTGATGAATGATCTGTGTGGGACTTTCTGACCAACCTTGTGAATGATTTTTTTGTTGTTGTTCTTTTTTTAAACCCAGTTTTCATTAAACCACAGGGAGGCCAGTGCCTGGAATTTTTTGGTTTTTTTAGTTACTATTTAAGGCTCAGCAGAGTCTGCCCTTGAACCATTTCTTTTTTCCCCCTCTCCCCATGGCTATGCCCTAGCCATACTGGGCCACCCTGGTTTGTGAGTGTATGAAATTAGTTAGGTCCCTGATTGTCTTTAATAAACCCTACAGGACTGGAGGGTGCTATTTCTATACCCTAAGTTATGTCTCATGATGGTTTTTGCTGACATTATTTAACACACATGTGGTCAAACCTTTCATGTTCTCCTGTCTGTCCATCTAAAAGGTAAGCTGCTTTCAGATAGCAGCTTTGGTGTATTCTCAGGTTTGTCCACCATTCCTAGCAGAAGGTGGACTCAATAGATCTTTGCTGATGGGGGCTTCCTCCCCAGCTACCTCCTCACACTTGATTTGGGCTGGACACACTAACGCCCCAGGAGAGCTCCCACCCTCAAGTCTGTTCTTGTTCCTCCACAGTGTGGGGCTTTGGTTTCCTCAGTGTGTCACTGATTAACCTGGCCTCTCTCCTGGGAGTTCTCGTCCTGCCCTGCACTGAGAAAGCGTTTTTCAGCCGCGTGCTCACTTACTTCATCGCCCTGTCCATTGGAACGCTGTTCTCTAACGCGCTCTTCCAGCTGATCCCGGAGGTGCAGTAGACCAGAAACACGGCAAACCCCTCTCTTGCGATGCGTCCTCTTTGCCTCGCTGGTCACAGCTGAGCCTTCTTTGGGCTAATATTCCTACATCCTGTGTTCTGAGGCATCTGATTGCCACCTGAGAAATTAATTTAGCCCTTCCATCAAGAGACACAATTACTTTCTCCCTCTGGGTCGCAAAGGCCTCCTCTCTCTCCTTGGGGTACTCAGGTTTGCTTCTGGTCACATCAGGTGGTGTCACACGCAAGGTTCTGAAACACTGACCTTCCCTCATAGAGAGCTGGCCTCCGTGTCATCCCTCACCGTCATTTGTCAGGCCAGAAACGGAACAGTAGTCCTGGATGGTCCCCAGGCCCGTGGTACACAAGCCCCTCTGTTCCAATAAGGAAGTCGGCAGCGGTTGGGTGAAGCCACCTAGAATTCCTCTGTTGGAATCAGATTACCAACCAAAATGAATGATGATTCTAGTTTTAAGAATCCTAGTTTGTTTGTTGTGTGATGTGGGTTATTTTGTTGTTGTTGTTTTAAAAAAATATTAGATCTTAATTTGTAGCAGAGGGGCCCTCATAGAATAAAGATTAAGTGGAAACCAAACCCACTGTAAAGTACAAAATAAGAAGGGCCCTCGGCTCTTCACACCTTGCATTGTGACCTAGTCTTGATAGGATCAGAATTCCTGGTACCCTTACTTGACTGTTTGGAATATTTTTTTTTTTTTCTCACAGAGGAGCTATAAAAATAAGGTCCAAGCTGACAGCCTTTTCAGCCCAGGCCAGGACGAACTGATCTTCAGACTTTTGAGGACAGAAGGGTCTGCATTTCATAAAGTCCTTGCCAGAGGCTTTCCATCTCTCCTAATCAGAAAACACAGACCCGAAGAAGGTTCCACATGGGCCTCTCATGCCTTCCCTGGGTCTTCTTTGTAATGAAAGGAAAAATTCTGATTTTAAGATTCACCACTTTTGATGTCCTCTCAACATTTCTCATGAGTCAACTAAGCACATCTCAGAGGAAGGCTTCATCTTGGGCTATATTTTTTTTTTCAGCTCCAGACATGTATTTTGTTAATTTAAGGATTTGAAATTAATTGCCTCATTGCTTGTTCAAATGGAAATGAAATCATTGTAAGATCTCCACCCCCATGGCTCACAGGGAATGTCTCATCACAGCCCAGTGTGTCCGGCCTCATCTGGACTCAACGCCCAGGATGTGGGGCACTGGGAAATGCCACATGGAGTGCCTTTATGACCTGGTGATCTTGGAACTCTGTTCTCTATGCCCGAGTCCTCCCAAAAACCAGTGGAAACTAAAAACACTGAGAAATTAGAGAAATGGAATATTGTGGCAATTGATTATTACTTGATCCCCACCCTCCTTCCCAGCACACCTCGCCTAGCTGTATTTTGTCCAAACCAGACCACATGCAGGTTGTGCTGTTGATGTCTACGTACACAACACAGATTGGATGTACACAACAAACATGGCAAAATAATCCATCTGTTTCCACTGTTCATGCTTCCTGTTGAAAGAGTCTTCGAGTCCATGGTCTGTTCTGAGCGCCTCTATGATGGTCTGATCACACTCAGACATGCCAGCCACAGCGCCCTCCTGACCCCACTCGGTGCCTGGCAGCCAGGCATGACATGGGCCACCACAAACAGTAGGGCTGAGAGTCACAGGGCTCCAAGGCCACCTTGAGTTCCTTCTCATTTCTTCTGAACTGATTGGACGAAATTTATCAAATTTGAATCACTAACAAATTTTCCATTTCTCTCTCCCTCCCTACTTGTCTCTCTCTGGTTTTTTCCCTTTTGTTTTCTTTGTTAATATTCACCAAAACTTTCCTTGTTGCCTCCCCACCCTCTCTGCCTTCCCGCCCCTGAATGGTGATTGCCAATGGGACTTGTCCTTGTCCTGGGTGGGGCTGGCCCTCCCTCCCCATGGCAGTGTGGGGATACGGTCTCCTGTGTGTGACCGTCATCTCACTCTGCTCCCTCATGGGGGCCAGCGTGGTGCCCTTCATGAAGAAGACTTTTTACAAGAGACTGCTGCTCTACTTCATAGCTCTGGCGATTGGAACCCTCTACTCCAACGCCCTCTTCCAGCTCATCCCCGAGGTATGACAAGCCAGGGCTTTGTCATGTAGGAGCACTGTCCTGGGGGGACAGTGGGAGGACCCTCTGTTTAGATAGAAACCACAGAGAGGAGACCTTGGGGTCCTTCCATCTTCCATGGTGAAGCTAGGACTTTTTTCTAGATAAGAACTAGGAGGGACGGCTTACTGTAGGTTAAAGATCATTGATTCTAGATACTTAAAGTAGAGAAAATAAGAGAACAAGCCTTGTGACGATACCCTGAGGATTTCACACCCACTGCTGCTGCTGAGCTCATTTGGACCCATCCGATTTAAGTGAGTTAACATTTGTAAACACTTGGTGCTTTTCGTGCCTGTTGTTGTTATGTGCAAATTAGAACTGACTTAGCTGACCCTCCAGCGAATTTTCAGAGGCTGTAAGTCACATGAGAGTAGATGGCTCCTCTTTCTCCCTTAGAGCATCTGGAGAGTTTGAACCACATGCCTTTGGGTTGGCAGCACAACTCTTGTTGTTGTTGTTGTTAAGTGCTGTTGAGTCAAGTACAACTCATAGCGACCCTATGACCAAAAGATCTGAACCCCATTCTATCCTGCACCATCCTCACACTTCCTGACACACAAGAACCCATTGCAGCAGTCACCATGTCAGTCCATCTGGTTGAGGGCCTTCCTCTCCTTCGCCAACCCTTCACCCTTCCCAGCATTGTGTCCCTCTCCAAGGAATAGCCCCTCCTAGCAACATGCCCAATATATGTGAGGCAAAGCCTCGTCATTCTTGCCTTCAAAGAGCACTCTGGCTGCACCCTCTCCAAGACATACCGGCTCGTTCTCTTTCCCGTCCATGGGATGTTCAGTGCTCTACTTCAACATGACAGCTCAGTGATGGCAATTATTTTTCTGTCATCCTTATTCATTTTCCAGCTCTCAGATACCACTTCTTGTTGTTGTTATATGCCGTCAAGTCGCTTGCAACTCATAGCAGCCGTGTGTACAACAGCCCTAAACCTTGCTCTATCCTGTTCTAATCTCACTGCCTCTGACACACACATCCCGATTATCCCAGCCACCAAATCAATCCACCTCATAGAGGGTCCACCATCCCTCCACCATCCCAAGCATGATGTCCCTCTCCAAGGACCTGTCCCTCCTTACAACATGTCCAAAGTATGTCAGACAAAGCCCCAGAATCCTTGCCTCCAAGGAGTAGCCTCTCTAGGAAGAATCTGTTTGTTTTCTTGGCAGTCCAGGGTACATTGAATACCCTTCTCCAGCACCACAGCTCAAAGGCATCAATTCTCCTTCTATCCTCCTTAGTCATTGTCCAACTCTTTGATGCATAACAAGTGGTTGCAAAGACCATGGCCTGTATCAGACGCATCTTAGTCTCCAGAGTGACACAATTGCTCTTCAGTACCCTGGAGAGGTCCCTAACCACAGACTTTCCCATCGCAATATGTTTTTTGATTTCCTGGCTACTGGTGCCAAGAGTGTTCACCGTGGAGCCAAGCAGACTAAAGTTGTACTAGACACCTAATAAATATATGTAACTGATGAGCAAAGAAATGTCAGTTAGTTAGATTACTTTATAGCTCCTGTTTGGAGCTTTTGGCATAGAAGTGTATAAAACACATCAGAGAAGTTCATAGATCTCAATAAAAAAATCCATTTTCCTCAGTGAAGAGTTTGATGTCATAGATGATAAAGCTCAGTCAGATTCCACATGCACTGACCCTTTGCCCCTTCTGCAGAAGGTAATGAGCAAATTTTCCATTAAAGGGGAGGGGCTCTTTCTATTCCTAACATTTGCTTATTAGCGTATGGGATATTTTCTCTTGATTCGATGCGACATTGAACAAACATGAGACCTGAGACCTTTTCATTAAGGTGTTTGACAGGCCTGGACATAGTTGTAATTGCAGCACAAAGATGGCACCACATGCTGCTGTACAGCACTTTTGGTCTCCAAAATGCCATTGTGAGTGTCCTCAGTTAATCAACTGTGACATCTGTATAGCAAGTCCATTTTTCACTTCAGAAATGAGGAGTCTTGCCTGCCCAGCATTCACTAAGTTAGAATCCTGGTTTATAATCTCTAAAAACCGTACTGTTAAATCCTGCCATCCATCCTGACTTTTGTAGAGAGGGATTCTTTGCCCATTTTAACTTCCCTTTTCCCCAGGGTAACTTGACACCTGGAAGTTTGGCCTCTGCGTCTTTTGAAAACTACTTCGTGTCATGCCAGTCTCATCTCATAGTGACTCAGTGCGTGCCGAAGGAGAATTATGCTACAGAGATTTCAGGGACTGATTTTCATTTTTATTTTTTGGAAGTAGATTGCAGGTCACCTCTAGAAGGACCCATTGTCAAAGGACGTCATCCTTTCAGTGCATTTGTATCCCTTAACCATGGTACTGTCTGTGGATACCAGCACACTATACTCAGGATACTGTTTTATCCTTTTAAAACAGAACTAAAAGACATTTTACTTTTTAAGCAGCCTACTGCTTAGGACTACTTTTATCTTTGACTGTTTGTGAGATGCCTGGCATATTTTCAAGTCCTGTTGCTTGTCAGAGAACTGAAGTGCAGGTCGTCTGGCACCTTGATCTCCCCCCACAGCTCAGAAACTTAGTGGAGAGAGGAATTCTCCTGATTTCTACTCTTACTCTTTTTTCCATGAGTTTTTTCCTCCCCTCTAATAATAATTGAAGGAAACTCTGATAGCGTAGTTGGTAGGGAGCTGCACTGTAACCCAGAAGCCTCGCCTCTCCAGCAGTGTGAGTTCACCAGTGACTCTGAGGTAGGAAGATCAGCTGTCTCCTCCTTTGACATTTACAGCCTTGGAAACCCAGCAGAGCTCAGCGGTGAGTTGTTTCTGACTCCACAGGAGTAATGATTTTTTTGTTTGGGCTTTTTTTTTCTTTTAGGGAAGTTTTCGCCAAAAAAAGGGGGAGTGACCCATGCAGTAAATACAGCCTGCTACTCTGGTTTTTGTGGTCACTAGAAAAAATCAGTGGTCAGGAAGATGGTGCAATTCTGACCATTAAATTGAAGGATGTAGTTCCCATTTTAGAAAGTGTAATTATGCCATCTCCCTCTGTGTTTACAGGCAGGTCAACCAGGAACACGAGATAAAGATGAAAACAGACTTTCTTTCTAAATTTAGGATTCCCCCCCCACCCCCAACAAAGCATGCTCTTACGGCAAAGCTCCAAGAGAAACTAAGACAGAGTTCTTATTAAAAGTAGAAAATAATTTGAGTGATTGTTGAGACTGAAATATTAAAGCCATCTATATCATAAACTAGAATATAGAAGTCACGTTAGGGAAACAGGATTAGATGGCAGGGTTTGTGCAGGAAATCTTTCCTAGAGTCAAGGACGTAACGGAAAGATGAGGATTTTTATTTTCTTAAACTAATTTTTTTTTCCTCCTGGGTCCACAGGCTTTTGGTTTCAACCCTATGGAAAGCTATTATGTCTCAAAGTCTGCAGTGGTGTTTGGGGGCTTTTATCTTTTCTTTTTCACAGAGAAGATCCTGAAGATGCTTCTTAAAAAGAAAAATGAGGTGAGCTGAAAGTGTTGGTCCAGGAAATTCTTCCATTTCCAAAAACCATTCATGTACCTGGGGGTGGCGATACCCTGACACTGTTAATATGAGCATACACTGCGTTCCCCCGCCCTGAAATGGATTAAGAAAAAAAACACATTTTATGAAAATATAACCCCATCTCACCACAGAAACTAACAGGCAGTTAGAGTGGGTCAGAGACTAGAGCTATTAAACAGCAATTTATCCCCTTGTTTTTCCTTGATATTTTTCCTTCCCCTGAGAGCTGTATCTTTAGAAAGTGGGAGAAGGGCTGGATGAATTCATCACATTTATCATATATGTGATGAAGTTTGACCACAAAGAGATGAGACCGATCGATGGTGGTTGTTATGGTTAGCTGCTATTGATCCAGGCTGCTGCCTGATTCATGGCGATCCTGTGCACCTACTGAATAAAATTCCTATCCCTGCACCATTCCTCTGATCAGTTATAGATAATTTCTTTGGGACCCATAGGATTTTCATTGGCTTTTTTTTTTCAGAAGTGGATCACCAGGCCTTTCTTCCTAGTGTGTCTTAGTCTAGAAGCTCTGTTGATGCTTGTTCAGCATCATAGCAACGCAGAGCCTCCACTGCTGGGTGGGAGGCTTTCCATGACGAACATTGCCTGCATTTACCACAGGGAAGGCAAGCATACGGCATAATTACTGCTACCCCAAGTCCACAAGTCTACATTATAGTCCACAAAATACCTTTAATGCAGGGTGAAATGAATCCTTGCAAAGGAAAAACTCTTTAGAGTACTAGGAGGGTGGCTGCATTAGTGCTTACCCTTTGAAGAGGACCACATTGATATATATGTATTTAAAACCAGATCCTCACACTCGGCACAGCTTTATGATGCACCTAAATTCCTCTGTGCTGCTGACAGCCTCTACGTTGATGGTAGGGATATGTAATGGTGGTCAGTAAGTCTTAAGGTTTTGTGAGTGTGTGCTCCCAACTCCTCTATCCTGTGTCTGTCCAGCATCACCACGGGCATAGCCATTATGCCTCGGAGACCCTTCCTTCCAAGAAGGACCAGGAGGAGGGTGTGACAGAGAAACTGCAGAATGGGGATCTGGATCATATGATTCCTCAGCACCGGAACAGCGAGCTGGATGGCAAGGCCCCAGTGATGGATGAGAAGGTCATTGTGGGCTCACTCTCTGTCCAGGTCAGTGGTGGCCATGAAGCAGTAATAGCACTGATATTCCAGGCCTACCTGGAAGGTGTATAGTCCCTAGTGGTAAGGAGCCTTCCTACCAACCTGACGGGATGTAGTTCAAATCCCTCAGCTGCGCTATCGGGGAATGACGGAAAGTCTCCTCTCATGCGATTTACTGCCCTTCAAAACCTGCTGGAGAGTCAGTTTTGTGTCGGTTCTGACCCCATGGTACTTAACAACAATAATCTATTTTGTAGGACCTTCAGGCTTCCCAGAGTGCGTGTTCCTGGCTAAAAGGAGTCCGCTACTCTGATATTGGTACTCTGGCCTGGATGATCACCCTGAGTGATGGCCTCCACAATTTTATTGATGGGCTGGCCATCGGCGCCTCCTTCACCGTGTCTGTGTTCCAAGGCATCAGCACGTCCGTGGCCATCCTCTGCGAGGAATTTCCACATGAGTTAGGTGAGTGTGCAGTGCATCTGTCCCTGTAGTCTGTCGTACAGATCATTTCTCACTATTCTCCCTCAGAATGCCTATTGTAATAAGTCACAGAGTCTCTAAGCTGTGTGAGGAAATACCAGGAGGCATAAGACATTAACACTTCCAGCTGCTTACTGAAAGTTTAGTGCTTAGAGTTCACCCAGAAACACCTTGGAAGAAAAGCCTGGTAACTTACTTTTTATCAGCCATTGAAAACATTGTTGTCGGAGTATCGTTCTCCTCTGATATACGTGTTTGCCATGCATTGACATCCATGAAATTGCTTTAAACTAATGTTTGTGTCAAATGACCATTTCTTTTTTTTTTTGTGAGACCTGAAGTATAAATTTATATAAATACATTTTTATTGATATTTTAACAAAAGTTTACAGAAAACATGGATTTCTATTCATTATGGTTGCACATTTTCCTCCCAACCTGCCTATTTCACTTTTCTCTTTAAACAGATTCCTTCATTGTTGCAAAATGACTGTTTCTTAACAATCAAATAAGTGTTAATTTAAAATAATATTACATCCTGTGCATTGGTTATTTACCTCTCTTATCCAAATGAAGTAAGTAATAGTACCTACCTCATAGAATCATTGTGAGGCATGAGAAGCTCTAGTGGCCTAGTGATAAGAAGCTGTGCTGTAATCCCTAAGGCACGTGGTTCAAATCCACCAGTTACTCCATGGGAGAAAGGTGGGCAGTCTCCTCCCATGTGATTAACTACCTCTGAAAACCCACTGGAGGGTCAGCTATGGGTCATTTCCAGCTTGACAACACAGAATCACCACCTCATAGACTCATTGTGAGGAGTGGGGTTAATAAAATAGTACCTACATCATAGAATCATTTATGTGCCATACACTATTCTAAGTTTTCAGTAAAGTCTGTCTCCTATGTCCCATCTTCCAAAGGCTCACATGTATACTAGAAGAGTGAGTGAGGATGAGCCAGAGGTGTCTCTCCTATTGCTTCTAGTTAGAACCAACCTATAGCTGACCATTCAGCGTGTTTTCAGAGGCTATAAATCACATGAGAGGAGATTGCCTGTCGATTTCCTAGAGTAACTGGTGGATTCAAAACACTTTGGGTCAGCAGTGCAACTCATTATCCACTAGACCTCCAGAACTCTTTAGGAAGTCTGGTACTTATTTTATCTTTTCTCAGTTATTGTTGTTGTTGTTGTGAGGTGCCATCAAGTCGGGTGCAACCCATAGCAACCCTATGAACAATAGATCTGAACCCTGTCCTATCCTGTACCATCCTCACACTTCCTGACATGTTAGAGCCCATTATGTCAGCCACCGTCTATCCACCTGGTTGGGGGTCTTCCTCTCCTTCGCTGATTTTCTACCTTTCGTGAGCATCATGTCCCTCACCAAGGATTAGCTCCTCCAGGCAACATGCCCAAATTATGTGAGGTAAAGCCTCATCATCCTTGCCTCCCTCTCCACGACATGCTTGTTTGTTCTCTTGGCAGTCCATAGGATATTCAGCACTTTTCTTCTACACCACAGCTCAAAGACCTCAATTCTTCTTCTGTCATTCTCATTCTTTGTCCAGTTCTCAAATGCATACCAAGTGATTAGAAAGACTATGGCCTGAATCAGATGCACCTTAGTCTTCAAACTGACATCATTACTCCTCAAAAATTTGGAGAGGTTCCTAATTGCAGACTTCCCCAGTGCAATACATCTCCGTATTTTCAGACTGCTAAAAAAGAAGATAGAGGGAATATACAGAATCACTGTACCAGAAAGAAGTGAGACTGAAAAATTTCCGGAAGTTCCATATGAGCAGGAGCTTTGGTAATGAAAGAAGAAGTGGAAACTGTATTGAAGGCATTGACAAAAAATAAAGCCCCAGGAATCAACAGGATACTGATTGACTTGTTTCCATTAACAGATGCAACCCTAAATGCACTCAACAGTCTATACCAGGAAATTTGAAGGACAGCTGTCTGGGTAACAGATTGGAAAGGATACATTATTTGTTCCTATTCTCAATAAAGGTGATCCAACAAAATGTGGAAACTGTCAAACAATATCATTAATAATATCCCATGCAAGCAGAACACTGCTGAGAAAAAATTTTTTTGCTTTTTTTATACCTTTTTTTTATTAAATTTTGTTAATTTTAATGAACAGTTACAGAGATTTTGGGTTTCCATTCATTCATTGTTGCACTATTTTCTCTACCCTCCCCCCAGTTCGTTCCTCTTGAAAGTCTGTTTTAATTGTCCCATTGCCACAGTGCTTGTCAAAGCCAGTTCTGATTAATCTCCTTTGTCAGTGTGTCCTTTGCCAAAAAATACTGGAGCAATGCATAGATAGGGAATGGCCAGAAGTTCAACCAGGATTTAGAAGAGGCCATGGCACTAGGGATATCATTGCTAATGTCATATGTATCATGGGTGAAAGTAAGAATACCAGAAGAATGTATGTTTCTGCTTAATTGACTGTGCAAAAGCATTTGACTGTGTGGATCATAACAAGTTATGACTAACATTGAGAAGAACTGGAAACCCAGAGCACTTGTGCTCATGTGAAACCTATACTTAGACCAGCAGGCTGTTGTGTGAACAGACAAGGGAATACTACATAATTTAAAATTAAGAAGGGAGTGAGTCGGGGCTGTATCCTCTCTCCATACCTATTCATTCTCTATGCTGGGCAAATTATTCAAGAAGCTGGACTCTATGAGGAGGAATGTGGCATCAAGATCAGAGGGAGACTCGTAAAAACCTGCGTTATGCAGATAACAAAAGCTTGCTTGCTCAAAGTGAGGAGGACTTGAAACACTTGTAGCAGAAGATCAAGGAATGCAGCCTTCAATATGGGCTACATTTCAAAGTCAAGAAAACAAAGATTCCGGACTGATAGGCAGCATCATGATGATGGAGAAAAGATTGAAACTGTCAATAATGTCATCTTACCTGGATCCAAAGTTAACACCCTGGAAGGTACCAGCAGTCAGGAAATCAGGAGACATATTATCAGTGTTATAGTGTAAAAAATATGGACCTTGGCTTTTCTGTTTATTGGCTTGTGACTTGGAGCAAATTCTTTTACTTCTCTCTGTCTAAACTTGTTACTGAAAATCACTGTTCATTGTAGTTATGAGGGAAAAAAGTACCTTCTATTTCACTATCTATCAAAAGAGAAATGAGGCCATTTCTCTTGGCTATTTTAAAAATCCTATGACTAATTTTCAGCCTCTCAGCTGGAAGTACATGGCCAGTTTTCCCCATGGAGTCAACTCCTGAATTTCAGATGAAAGAGACTTGGGTTTGTCACTTGAATCTCAAATCTGTGCTGTTTGTGATATTTTAACCCAGACTTTATCCATAGTTTGTGCAGTCCTCATCTTTTATGCAATATTCTCTGTCTTCCAAAGACCTCGTGTGACTCTCCTTTCAACATTCTTGTTCCTCCACTGTAGGTGACTTTGTAATCCTGCTCAATGCCGGCATGAGCATCCAGCAAGCTCTCTTCTTCAACTTCCTTTCTGCCTGCTGCTGTTACGTGGGCCTGGCATTTGGGATCCTGGCTGGCAGCCACTTCTCTGCCAACTGGATCTTTGCACTGGCCGGAGGAATGTTCTTGTACATTGCTCTGGCTGATATGGTAAGTCTTTCACACTTCTAGTTCATGCTATGCGAACAAAATTGGACCAGTTAATTAGCTGGATGGGAGACTGCTAACAGGACATTTCTGAGGTTTCTGTTTTGTTTTTTATACCAGCTTGGTTGAACTATCATTTACATGCTATACACTTCACCTTTAAAAGTGTGATGGAGGATTAATCTTGGGGTTGTACAGTTTGATGAGTGGGGTGGGAAGGTGAGGGAAATTGGAAGAATCTGGTGTGAAAACAATGTATTTAAATTTTGTAAATAAACAAGTATAATAAAGACCAAAAATAAAACATGCATATATGTGAAAGTGGCAGTTGGTAACATGAGGATGGGTGAGTCTGACTTCCTCACTTTTTAAAGGGGAATTGTCCCCATCAATAAAATCAGTAGTATTATACGGATAGCTCCATGCACCTTTTCCAGAGACTTTCTACCCTCACTGGGTCCAATGTTCATTGCTACTTGACCCACAGACTTTACTCCCAGTTATGGGGTTTATTATGGAAATCGGTTGGGGACTGAGTTCGGCAAAGAACATCATACAGTGCAAGTCCAGTGTTAGACCAAGCCAGGTTAACAAGGCAGGATTCCTCAGTTAGTGAAAGTCCAGGTTCGATTCAGCAGCAAAGCAGAAATCTATTCCTGTTAGTACATTTCAGCAAAGATAGTAAGAATTCCACGGTCCTATTTAAACACTAATTAAATGAAAAGTATGATGCAAGACTTGAAGGAAAGAAGTCTGCTCAGTTACCCTGCCCTCAACAAACAGCATTAACAAGTAGTACTTTGGTTTGCTTCTTTTATTGTTTCAGTGCATTGCCGGTTTTTTGTTGTTTGTTTTGTTTACTTAGCATTCCCCCCCTGCTCCATCTCAATGCATTGTTTTTAAATAGCTTTAATTACATTGAATTTTGCATTTTTTTACCTGATTTCTTTATCTACTTACTATTCCAAAAGCATTTTTTTCATGTTGATAATCTTTGAAAACATCCTTTCTAATAATGGTATTATTTGGTAAGAGAGGATATATATCTTCAGCGCAGAAATAAGATCTCTGACTCAAAAGGAAGTCACGGTTCCCCTCCCCCAATTGCTTTCTACAAACCTTTCATCATTTTCCAGAGACTGTACTCTTTTTTTTTTTTATTAGAAGTATGTGAATGCATACATTTTAATCATTGCATTAAATTTTAATTTGGTAATGTAAGAGCTGATCTGTTCATTTTTAATTGTAAAAAGAGCAAGAGCCATGTGGGGATGGCCATATCTGACCTTTATCGACTTCACTAAGGGGAACTGTCCCCAGCAACAATGTCAGCAACACAAAACTAGTTCCAGTGAAGTCAGTCATATTTCCCATGTTCCACTCTCTCTTTCTCCTCATCTCTACACCAATCTTAACTGCTTTACTGAGTCCAAAAACCTGTTGTGATAGCTCACAGGTCACACAGAAACATATTGGGAAGTCAAAAGGCTCTAATTCTAGCTTACAGTAGCAGAATACAGTTAGAACAGCTTCTGAAATATGTTCACAGGCACCTCAGCCTTGAGCCTTTTAGTTTAGGGCCAGTGTTAAAATATTCTTAATCCTACCAATATTGGCTCTCCCCCACCGTCTCCAAGTTGTCCAATAAGTTTAAGCAAAAGCTCTTAGCTTAGATCTGGTCCTTTCCTTGAGGGGTAACCGACCCACAGTCCACTTAGTCTCATGTCAGGTCTCTGGTTCTCCCCTGTGAGTGCTAATGGCTGTTGCTCTGGTGTTGCATTGTCTTGCTTGCTCTTCTTTGCTGGTGGTGAGGTCTTGTCTTCTGCTTCTGGATCTGCTCAATTCCCTTGTGGTTTGGTTATTCTCATATTTCTGCCCATCCACATGGCAAAAGTCGAGGAATGACTAGAAAAGTAATTTTGAACACATGTATAACTAATAAGATTGATTTCTTTTTTTTTTCTTTTCTTTTTTTTTTTTGGTGTTGGGGGAAGCATGCTTGTGTGAAATCTCCTTTTGATAAGAATACTGACCGTCATGCCCCACCACCCTCCATGAAGGAAGTCAGCTCTTCTCCTGTGGGGAGCTCATTGCTTGAATTGGGGTATCTCATCACTGTCACCTGCCTCCCTGTTGCAGAAATAAGCGTCTTTGAATCACAGCCATGCTATAGTTCAGTGTTTTCTCCCCTTACATAGTTCCTTAATTTCTTAGAGAAGTAACAGCATCATGGTAGTAAAATATTTTTTGAAAGTTTTTTTGAAAGTCCATAGTAAACAGTTTCTTTTAAGCACAACACATTATAGCCAGCCTCCAGATATATCCAAGCCACAGAGATTAACTAGATGGTGGTAAAGCCGTGGTAACCCTCGGAGGAAAGGGTTAGCTGCTAATGCTGTTAATTGATCTTTGTAAATCAGAGGTGTGGATATATGTATGCCTTTGTCTGATTTTGTCCTGGACTTAAAAGGTTCAGAAGAGAATTCCAGCTCTGTGTTTCTGTTACTTTTCAGTTCCCTGAGATGAACGAGGTGAGCCAAGAGGATGAGAGGAAGGACAGTTTCCTCATCCCCTTTGTCATCCAGAACCTGGGCCTCCTGACTGGATTCACCATCATGCTCTTGCTCACTATGTATTCAGGGCAGATCCAGATTGGGTAGAGCCTGCCAAGAGCCAGGGGGGCTGGAAGTGGAGCCCTTGGCTGCCCGAACCCTGGTCTCAGGACTCCTCATCTGCGAAGGACCACAGAAGAGGCAGTTTTATTAAAAACAGACACAGACTGTTAGTCCTGCACTCAGATGTAAGCTGTTTTTGAAAATGCTCCATCCTAGGAATAAGCTGCGCTGGTAACCATTCTCTAGGTAGTGCCTCTCAGCCTTGCCTTTCCCTCTTCCCAGAGCAACTCTGGAACCTGAATACGGTTTAGAAGACAAGCCTCACTTTTTTCCTCTGGTTACCCTTGTCTCTCTCAGCACTGAGAGATTTTGAATCCTTCACCATCATATGTAAATTATATGGTCAGTGGTCATAACTTGGTTAAGAAATATCAAGAGCTGAACCTATAATTTGGAGACACATGAATCTAAATAGGCCATCCTGGATCTCAAGACAGCCCACTTTGGAATGGGTGTACCTATTTTTACAGAGAAGTTATACAGAGTCCCTCCTGTGTGTTCACAATCTGTTCAGATGCTTTTAGCTCCTCACTTCCTTCAAGGAGAACAGAATCTGAGAACATACATGCTGGGCAAGAGGAGAAGCAATGATAATCCTGAACGAGAATGGAAGTAGCCCTGGCAGGTGTGCCGTTTGGGGTGCGGGTCTTGGTTTTGTGGCAGCACCTTTGGTATTCCATGGCTGTTCATGGGCTGGCTTGTAGACTTAGTTGCTTGGCTGCTGTTTCACGGATTCACATGGGAAGGAGGGAGGAAGCTACAACTGGTTGGTTTGCTGTGGTTTCCACTTCTTCACTCTCATCCTCTGAGATGCTTTTTAGCCACTTCCACAGAAGCACATTCTAAGCATATTTAAGATGCACGTATTAGGAGACAGCACAAACTCACTGCTCCTAGTCAAGATGGCTGCAAAATGGTCAGCTGGCTTTGAAGACTGGCGTGCAGTTTATGCTCATCCTAGACACGGCTCATCAGAAATGGAATTACTGCAGGCAAGATTCAGAATTTTCTCATGACATGAGTAAGAAAGGGTGAGTATTAGGAAACTCTGAGATCTGAGGTCAGAAATTTGGATTAACATGGCAGATGTTTGCAGCGACTGATGGTTCAACGAGTGGGCTCTTAGTAGCATTGTCTAGGTTACCGCTTCCTCCCCTATCCCCCAAACAAACACAAAAAAGTTGAATCCTGTTTAGATTTGTTAATTGCTCTAGTTCTCTTCAGAAGATGGATGGACATTCTTGTCTGTAAACTGTTGGCCAGCCTCAGGCACTGTGGAGCTTTCTCCTTCGGTCTCAGGCTTCAGGGGGAGCTACTCTCCAGGTTCACTAGGTGAATTGATTTATTATTATCATATTGATAATGTGAGATTCTTTAGCCACTTTGGGGAACCATTCTCTCCAGAAGCCTTTATTCGTGGTGCCCACAGTTGTAGCCCAGGGGCTGTGTTAGCAAACTGTGTGTGTCACTGATAAGAGTACTGGTTCATTACCAACACCTGCGAGTTTTTCTGTCCTTAAGCAGAAAACCTTCCCACTACATAATAATTAGAAGCATCTATTTTGTTCTTTCTTCTTGGGGGAACTTCCTTCCTCAGGCCAGAAATATTTCTTAATAAGAACATGAGAAGGTAAATTGCTGACAAAGCTCTAGAAGTTCTTTCTCTTTTCATTGATGGCTTTAAGAAAAAGTTGAAAAAGAAAGAAAACTTTGACTATGAAGATTACAAGTTAAATATCAGGATTACGCCTGATAGGATTATGGTCTGTTTTTTTTTTTAACCAAAGAAACAATTCCTTGGATGATGGAATCTCAGTTTTCATATTCTCATTATTATTATTATTGTTACTGTTTCACAATAATTCTCTCTCTGTCTTTCTCTGTTTTCTTTTCCTCAGAATGCTTCCAGGAGCCTAGCAGAAAATAACGCTAGTAACTAGGATCCTAGAATATTTTGCTTGACTTAATTCACAATGATGTATTAAATGGATAAATTTAGCATTCCCTGTCAATCCTGTCATTCCTTAAAAGTAGCATTTGTCTTGGAGGAGTGTCTTAAGAGTTGGTTGGTTTAGAAGAAGAGGTCAAAATATAATAGTTAACAAGTTAAAAATTGTAACAGGATGCTTTTACTATTCTTGCATACCTGTATTAACTTCAGAGTTGTTCAGCAGCGGCTGCTTTGAAGGGAAAGTCTTTAATTGGTGCAGAGGCCAGAGCTGGGGCTTGGGTGGGTTGAGCCCACTCAAAATGGTTCAATTGCTCATGTGCTGCCACTAATGGCAGTTTTTACTAAGTTTTTAAAATGTGGCAATTTCTTGTTGACTTTCAAGTGTGGAATTTGCTGTTTTAAGCATTTGTACATATTATATAAGTCTAAGGAGTAGCAGTTTATTTTGAGGAATTTTCATCCCTGACGTTAACATCTTTAAACCTCTCTTTTCTCTGGATGAACCAGCTCCTGTTAACTTGAGCAAGAAAAGTATAGTCCCGTGTAAGAGTGTTAACCCAGGGAGAGTCTCTGTCACTTGTCACTGCTCCCTGGCATGCAAGTTGCCTTCTGCCCTTGTCCTAAAAGGCATTGTGTGTCTAATGTCAACTTGAGGCTACTCCTCATGGGTCCTCCCCTTTGGGTTAAAAAAGGCTTCTCTAGGTATCCTGAAGTAATAATATCCTTTAGCCAGTCCTCTTTTAAAGAGATGATAATATGCTTGAAGTATGCTTCAGAGAAAAAAAAATTTCTTTTTTAAAAATAATAAAACTGTCCTTGATTTTTGCAAAAAGATAGGTTAGGTCTTTATTGTTCATACTTCCCTTTACAGTTCTGCAATTCTATCACAGTATTTTTTTAAATAACTCAGGTGTATGGGGGGGGAACCTTATGTGAACTGTAAATGTTTTATTTGTGAGATTCTATAAATAAAGCTATATTCTGTAATTGTTGTGCCTCCTATTGTAATCTTTTAAAGTTGTTAATCAACTTTCATTGACCTGTAAGGGACCCTGAGGACCATGATTCAGGGCTTGGCTGCTAATCAGAAAGCTGATGATTTCAAACCCCCACACAGGCTTTTCAGTGGAAGAAGGGTGTGCCGCCTGACAGCCTTTGGAGCATTTCTCTCTAGGATCTCTGTCAGTCAGAGGAAAGCTGACAGTAATGGGGTTCTTTTGGTTTGGTTTGGTTTGGGTTTGGGTTGGGTTGGGTTGGGTTGGGTTGGGTTGGGTTGGGTTGGGTTGGGTTGGGTTGGTTTGGGTTGGTTTGGTTTGGTTTGGTTAACCTGTGGTGTAGTAAAGACAGTTGAACACAAGATGGCAGTGGTGCCTCACTGTCTTTCAAAACAGTTTTATTCTTCCAACCTTTGTTCTGAATATAGGCCTATCTGTATGCTTTGATTTATTGAGCTAAACAGATACTGTTCTTCTCCCCCCCTCCCATACACACGCATACACAAATGGAAGATTTGTGAAATCCTGTGTCATTCAAGTCTTTTTTTAAAATACGGATTTATTTACAAAGTTCAAATCCATTGTTTTTCATACAAGATCCTTCCCATTTCCTTCACCCTCTTACCCATCAAATTGTGCAACTCTGTGATTAACACTCCACTCCTCTACCCATCCTCCCTAGCCCTCCACTCCCTTTTCATTTTCCCCTTTAAAAAAGTCATTCATCTTTGCGTCCACGCGAGGTTGTGGAGAAACTGGAACCCTGATTCACTGTTGGTGGGAGTGTAAAATGGTGCAACCCCTGTGGAAAGCAGTATGGCGCTTTCTCAAAAAGTTGCAAATAGAGATACCATTTGACCCAGCAATTCCACTACTGGGAATATACCCTGAAGAGACCATAGCTGACATCCAAGCAGATATATGCACACCCATGTTTATTGCAGCTTTGTTCACAATAGCAAGGAGTTGGAAACAACCTAAGTGCCCATCAACAAAGGAATGGCTAGAGAAGCTGGGGTATATTCGCACAATGGAATACTATGCTGCATTAAAAAACAAGGAACTCATGCAATATTATTCAAAATGGTTGACTCTGGAGAACATTATGCTGAGTGAAATATCCCAGTCACAAAAGGACAAATATTACATGATGCCACTGTTGTAGAATGGGACTGTCCTTGGGGTTGGGGAGAGACTGAGTAAGATGGGTTCAATAATGTATACTGCACTGAAACAGAGGAGGGAGAGAACCATTTAAAAGAGAGATAGAACTGGGTATTTCTGTCATCACAGGACACTAGAGCGAGGGCTACATGGTGGAGGGGACCTGGGGGAGGGTTTGTAAAACAATGAAAGAATCTTTTCTTTTACTTTTCCATAATTTTTGGACTCATGTACTTATAACTTGTTAGTCAAATTTGTGTCTTCTAGGTTACAACACCCCCATGATACATCTTCAAGGATATGAACATGTACAGCCAAGCACAATCAATAAGAGTGCATCTAAATTCCAAAATCAATCTCCATAATAGTCTATGTGTTTCCTACTGCCAAAGGGACCCTTTAGAGTAGTGAGAGAAGATCTTCACCCTGAAACCCACAGCGTCCCTTTTCAGCAGGAAGTAGCTAAGAGAATACGCCATCCCCTTTTCCTTATGACTCAGGGTGAAGTCTCTCTCAGGGAGGAGTGATAGGGAATGGCAAAGGACACACAAAGAAGATTAATCAGAACTGGCTTTGACAAGCACTGTGGCATTTGGACAAGAACAAACTGGGAGGAGGGTAGAGAGAATAGTGCAACAATGAATGAGTGGAAGCCCAAAATCTCTAAATGTTTATGAAAATTAATAAAATATAATTATAGGAAAAAAAAGTCATTCATTGCTGCATAATTTCCTCCCTCCCCTCCACCACAGTCCGCTTTGCTGTGCACCTCTTATTCTGGACTGTGTCATGCAAATATGCCTAATCATATATTCCTTTAAACAGTTCTTTCCTTCATCTGTTCCAGTGTAGTGCTTCTTATATATCCCTTCCTT